AATTTTAATAGTCATTATATGAAACATAAAAATTCGAACAATTGTGTAGAATGTGACTGTAAAACCAAATACACTGCATTACCGAATAAGGACAGTTTACAACTACCCATTTATAAATGTGACGGTTGTACATACGATTCAAAGGATAACAGAAACTTTACCAGACATCGGTTGGTACATAAAGATCCTTCGCAGGTCAAAATGTACAAGTGTAACAACTGTGATTACGAAACTAGATACAGGGATATTATGATAGATCATCAACTGAAGCATAAAGATCCTTCTAAAGTTCAAATGTATAGGTGTAATGACTGCGATTACAAAACTGTATGCAAGAGATATTTCACTAAGCACCAATTGAAACATAAAGATCCTTCGCAGGTTCAAATGTACAAGTGTAACGACTGCGATTATGAAACTAGATATAGGAAGGATTTCAAACGGCACCTACTGAAACATAAAGATCCTTCGCAGGTTAAAATGTACAGATGTAACGACTGTGATTATGAAAGTAAATACAAGAGTGTTATCAAACAACATCAACTGAAACATAAAGATCTTTTGCAGGTTCAAACGTACAGGTGTAATGACTGCGACTTGGAAACTAAATACAAGAATTGTATCAAACGGCATCAACTGCAGCATAGAGATCCTTCTCAGGTTCAGTTGTATAGGTGTAACGACTGCGATTACAAAACTAAATACAAGAGGTATATCAAAGGGCACCAACTGAAACATAAAGGTCCTTCCCAAGTTCAAATGTACAGGTGTAACGACTGCGATTTTGATACTAAATACAAAAGTTGCATGAAAGGGCACCAACTGACACATAGACAATCTGTACCGACTGTGACTATGAATCCAAATGCAGGAGAGGTGTAAAATATTACAGGTTGAAGCATAGAGAGCCTTCACGAGTGTATGAGTATGCAAAGGTGTGTCGCCAGTGATGTAAAATGACCGTCATTTAAGCTCGTGACGGTCATTACACGTCATAAATAGTTTCAGTTAGGAAAAATACTTAAATGTAAATGGTTTTTATCTCCTCGCTATGCAAAATAAAAGTAATTTTTCTAAAATATAAATTACTGAATTGCCTTAATAAATTCAACAACAAAAACTATATTAATATCAAAAAAGTTTTTATCTACAAAACAAACAATACAAAAAACAAATGTTCTTTGGCTATAGATTACAAGTTATAAAGTAATAAAACAAAATATTATTACCATTGCTTAAGTTTTAAAGACACCACGTCACCAGGTGGACATAAACCTACTTCTTACCGCATTGATAATGAATATTTAATACATATTAATTTAATATTAACCTTAATAAAATCATTTAAATATTTAAGAAACAAAAACTGTCATGACGCGATTTTCTATGTGACGCGACGGTCATGACAGGTCACGACATCGGTCATGCGCTGGTCACATGACCCACTTACATCACTATGTGTCGCAGATTCAAATGCATCAAGGTGATCTGGAAACCACACATAAGAAGTCTCTAAGGAGATATCTGCTGATGCACAAAAAACATTCGTGGGTGTGAAGTATGGTCCATTGAAGAAGTCAAAAATGGAGGCATTTAAGAGACCGACCATAAATATGTGAATGTGTAAAATGTAAAGCCTATCGTGAAAAACATCGGTTCAAACACAAAACTCTCACTGAAACACAGAGACAAGACAAGTGATTTTGGACTAGCGCTTTTGTAGCAATGCATTAAAATAAATACTTTGTAATATGCACCTGCTTTATTCTATGTTTAAAGATGTATCTTTTTCATTATCAATATTCAGGGAGAATGTTAAATGTGAACATGTGTATTTTAAACAACTGCAAAAAATTAGGAACAAAATAAATATGCCTTGGTTTTCTTAATAAAAAATGGTTGAGAACTGCTGACTTGGCTGTGGTATTTATGCGTTGAGAGATCAACTTTTCTGTGTTGCCGATGTCGTATAGACTTGTAAACTCTGGTTTTTAGCAATAAGGTCTGTCCTGTTTTTCACTCCTAGCTTAGAAACTCGGTATTCGATTGTTCACATGATTTTCGAGACAAGCGTTGCGGTAAACCGGAAAGCAGTAGTGGGAAGTTTTTTATTTTATTTAAATTATATTTGCATAAAATAAATTCACCTAATTTAATTATTTGTGTTGTGCTTATGAGTAAGAGTTGTGTACATGTGGATGGGAAGATTATGACGACTTTGGCTTGAGAGGCTGTCAGCTAAACGAATTTTGTAGTGACCACCTTCATTTTCTATTTTTAAATAAGGGTTTATTTGATACATTTATTTTTTTGGCGTCTTTAATTTTTATATCTACACATTTAATATTAACCCTGCGTCCTATGTAATTTATAATTTTCATTTGATTCTTCGTAATTTGTGTAGGGGGAACAGGGTTACAAGTGCAAAGAAACGTTATTGTACCAACACTGTTATTCCCTATTGTATTTTATTAGTATTATTTTAAGGCATAAATATAGGTTTAAATATTTAGCTTTTATTGTGCACTATTGTATGAATATACATATTTATGTATGTAGCATTTAATTAATTAAATATGATTTCACACATGCATTACAGTGTATTAATGTGTTTAAAGGAGCCATTTACTTTTGTTTATTTTTACACAGTTTTTGTTCTTGTGTACATAAAAATCTGCAAATTGATCTGATCCAAAATGATAACTTCTGTTCCAGAATTGTAGGAACTACGTAATAAAATCGTGACGAGATTAGATTTGTAGCGCCATCTTTCGGGTAAAAATGGTACTAATATGTAATACTTAATAAATATTACAGTATGCTTTAAATTTATAGGCGGTCATTGATTGAAATATTCCATACAGTTTTTCGGTCTATCATTATTGATAGATGGCGCTATCTACTTGGCAAAATGGGAAGACGTTATGATTCATAACTTTTCAAAAACATTGAATTAAGTTCTATAATAGGGTATTTTCACATTTTTTTTTTACTTGAAAAATAGAAAGTACTTAAGCCATATATAACTAATGAAAACTTTTTTTGTCTAAAAAAAATCGCTGTAATAGTTTTAAAACAAATATAAATTTAAGTAAAATATTTGGCGCGAAAAATGCCTAATCGAGTACGACTGGTTGCCTAGACTATTGTGACGTAGGAACTCATATCAACAAAGCCATGTATGTACAAGTACCTGTTGAGGTTATTTTATTTATTCCTGTTTTTATTGAATTTGCCAAGTTTATTTACTTTTTTTTTAAATAATAATTATATAATACAAAAAGTAAGACATGTACGAATCACAAAATAAGTGGTGTTTTGTGCCCGGATGAAAAAATAGTTCAATAAGTGCACCTAATAAAACATAAGTGTACCGCAGAATTCTTCACGCAAAATTAAATGGTTTAAAGCAGCCAGGCGAGATGTTCCTAAATCAAAATCAACAATTTTTTGTTGCGAGGATCATTTTAACGTAAGTAAATATCAATTATGTACCTTAAGGACAATGTTCTAAATTTTGAGGTTAATTTGTATTAACAAACTTTTTTTATTGCTTTAAAATTTAACAGTAAATATTTTAATGATATAATTATTTAAATATGTATAATCTTATATATTATTTTATACATGGTTTACTTATTATTGTTTTTTTTTTTTAGCTTCAAGAAGATATGGAAAATTTTGTTCGCTATAAACTAATCGGAGGAAAAGTTTAATTAAAACAGGACGTGGTTCCACATATATTTGATTGCCAACAAGACAAAAAAGAGCTGCATCTGCACCACAGCGAACTGTTGTTTTAAAATGACAAAGAAAACAGTTAGTAGAAGAAGCTATAACCTAGAGAATAAGAGAAACAAATGTTGAACAACAATTTTTACCAACAGTAATGGATTTTGATGGGCCCAGTACAAGCTCAAGTCAATAAGCCGGGTTAGAAAGGGATGAATATATTGTGGAAAATACAAAAGCAATTGGGAAGGCTAAAAGTGTGGGTATACAGGCGAAACCACATGTTCTGTCATTCTTTATAAATTCAATAACCATAAAAATATGAACACATGGCAAATTGTTCGTCGACGCTTTAACAAAACTCTAAGAAGCAATTTCTCGTTTTGTGAATGTACAACACAATCACTGTTAATCACAAAACACCTGATAAGCTTTTAAGAATAATTGTAATAATAATAATTCTCAAATCAAAACTTATTACAAGGCAGGTATATACCTGTCATGTGACTTGATATAGACCATCCCCCATTTATATGGGTAGTGATGTCATCGATGTCACAACCAATGAGATGATGTTTTATAAATCGTTTTGAAATTTGAAGTTTATATAGGTTATTATTATTAAATATTTAGTAAATTCTCATGAAATAGGCAAAGTTTTGTATATAGAAAACATCCTAATCAGTAAACGTTCAAAATTTTGTCCACCCACTCGTAAACACGTTTGGGCACGTTTAAGCATGTTTTGACCAACAAAAACCAATGTTATTTCCCAATGAAAATAGGTGATAGGTTTTAATTCGGGGGAACGTGGGGGCCACGTAAATAAAAGATAAATTGCTGGTACTAATATTTGGAATGCTGGAAGCACATGTTAGGGTTACAATTTGCTTCAAATCGAAATTCGGCATTTAGGTGATGACGTCATCTTATGATTGAACAAATTTTCAAATGCAAAATACATTAGTTACCACTTTGTTTCAAGTAAATTGAAAACTGCACTTGATACAGACAATGCAGTCGCAATTATGTGCAAAGCGAATTTAAGAACGAAGAGCAGGTTTTTCAGCTGTAAACCAACATCTGTTCTGAATCTGAAGAACCATGTTAGTGCTGTGCACAAGACAAATTGTTACGTCAATTTTTTCCAGTAATCCGTAATCATAGTGCAAGAATTGTAGACTGGGCTTTACCATTCTTGTTGTTCCGATAACAGAAGAGGAAGAAGAACAACAACACTCACTATTCGATGTTTTCATTGAGGTTAAACAACCATCACAAGTACGATTTTATATTTACATTTCAAAGAAAATTGTTGCAATGACTGGTGTTCAAGAAACTTCGTGTAAGTTTTGTCTCAAAACTGTAGGCGTTGAAGGTTTTGAGGTAATAGACAACGTTACTAGAGATATTTTAGATGTTCTTTTGCTGAAATTGGTAAGTTATATGTACGTATTAGTTCAGGGTCGCTGATATTCATGGAAACGGTCGATTATCTCCTAAAGTAAGATAGCTATCGAAAAATCAGAAGACACAAACGTTTGTGGGCTTTTTAAAGCTATTACAATAAAGAAAATTTAAGTATTACCGGATCAGTCGAAAAGTTACGACGAAACAAAGTTGCTTTTTCTTTATTGGGACACCCTGTATATTATTCCATATTTCAATTCTCGAAATTCTAAACAAAATTCATATATCACATCATGCGCCTAAGCTTAACCGTTTTCGAGATATCGAACTTTGAAAATCAATTTTTTATAAATTATAGAAAAATATTTTATTCTGTATCTTATGATTTTTCCATAGCTATCTTACTTTTGGAGAAAATCCACCGTGCATATCGGGGACACTGTATACAGGGTGTTTTTAAATGAAGTAGCAGAAATGGTACCAGTGAATGTAGAGCCAAAAATAAGAGGATTGAAGGACCTTACATGAAAGTTGCACCCCTGAGGCGATATACCCTCTTAAAGGAGGGGATTGAAATTCTCATTTTAATTTTTTTCTTAAACATGGGGAATGCTAGAGACACGAAACTTGGTATGAGCATCCTACTAATAAAGAGACAACTTTTCAATATTTGTTCGATCATTAGCGTATTTTATAAAGGAGTGAAACAGTCAACTCCATTGCGATATTTTATTAGAAATTTTTTTTATGGAGCAAATTATTTTAAAATATTTATTGGGAAGACTGATTTTTACCTCTTGTAATTTTTCGATAAAACCGATAGTTTTCTAGTAAAAAAAATTAGATGTGTCATTGTTCACTAAAGGGGTAATTGCGAAAATTTGTAAAAATAAAGTAGGCGGATGTCATAACAAACAATTTGTTATTTATCATATTAATAAATTGACACTTTCTGTCAATAAGCTGGTAATTTAATAATAACATTAAGAATAATTTACTATTAATTAATGAAAATGGTAAAGTTATTTATCTGAAATAAAATTTAATACAAACGAGAATCAAGAAATGCAAAATTAAATTTAAAGAATATTCTCGAAATAATTTCCATTTTGCTGCAAGCATAACCTAATATGTCTGTTGAAGTTATAACGCACACGCACAAACTGTTCTTGGTTACTGCCAAGGTCATCTGCTGCCTGAAATATTCTTAAGCGTAGTTCTTCTAAGGAGGCAACAGGAGTGGCATAAACAATACTTTTTATGGGTTTCCGCAAAAAGAAATCCATAGGCGTTAGGTCAGGTGAACGTGCAGGCCAACAAACAAGGGCATCACGACCACCACCAATCCAGCGATTCGGGTAATTTAAATTTAACCATTCTCTAATGGCTAGTGTACTATGTGCAGGCGCCCCATCGTGCATATATCACATCACCCGGCGTGTAGCGAGGGGTACATCCTCAAGTAATGTTGGAAGATTATCATTCAAAAATCTAAGGTACTCGGCCGCTCCAAGCCTGTGTGGAAGAATAAAAGGACCTATCAGAGTATTTCCTACAATTCCCACACATACGTTTAAACTGAAATTATGTTGACGTCTTGAGACAAATATTTCATGAGTATTTTCTTCCGACCATGAATGTACATTATGAAGGTTTACTGCACCTACTCTAGGGAAATTTGCTTCATCGGTGAAAAGTGTATTCATTAGGAAATTTAAGTCATGCCTGGAAATATTAATGTACCATTGACAAAAATCCACGAGGTTAGGTAAATCAGGGTCATTTAATTCTTGCACCGGTTGATGGTGAAAAGGGTATAAAAAATTTTCATGAGCTACATTCCACACAAGAAACAGTTGCCTAGACACCTGTCTTGTGCTTGTACCCCAGTCTTGTTCTCGATGTTCCAGTATAGCTTCCTCAGTTTCAACAGTTCGGACATTACGCCTTCTTCCGGCACCCTTACGATTGGGATGAATTTTACCAGTTTCGCGAAGCCTTCTTTCCACCGAGGCCAATGTTTGTCTATGAGGAATCGGTCGGTTTGGGTATCTTGGTGGTATATTCTTACTGCAGCGTTACTATTTTTTCTGTATTCAAAAAACACGTGGAGGATGTCGAAATATTTGTCATTGGTATAAATATTATTTGCCATAATTAATCTGATAATAAATTAATCAATTGGTACTAATTATTGGTTGACAGAAAGTGTCAATTTATTAATATGATAAATAACAATTCATTTGTTATGACATCCGCCTACTTTATTTTTACAAATTTTCGCAATTACCCCCTTAGTGAACGATAACGCATCTAATTTTCTTACTAGACTATCGGTTTTATCGAAAAATTACATGAGGTAAAAAAAGTTGCGCAATAAATCATTTTTCCAAATAAATATTTTTAAATAAATAATTTGCTACATATAAAAATTTCTAATAGAATATTCCAAAGTGGTTGACTGTTTCACTCCTTTATAAAATAAGCCAATGATCGAACAAATATTGAAAAGCTGTCTCTTTATTAGTAGGATGCTCATACCAAGTTTCGTGTCTTTAGCATTCCCCATGTTAAAGAAAAAAATTTAAATGAGAATTTCAATCCCCTCCTTTAAGAGGGTATATCGCCTCAGGGGTGCAACTGTCATGTAAGGTATTTTTCCTTCAATCCTCTTATTTTTGGCTCCACATTCACTGGTACCATTTTTGCTACTTCATTTGAAAACACCCTGTATATAACGGGGAAAACTCTTTGAACCTTTTGTTTAGTGGTGTAGTATATTTCATTTTCATTTTCAACCTGCCCACATACCACATTCTCTGTTAAAATTAATATTACCCTGACATACTTTACAAATAAAAAAATGCAAGCATATTTCAAATTTAAAATGAAAATGGGTAATGATAATGAATTATTTAAAAAAAAGTACTGTAGGAGTCTTTGTTGTTAATCCGAATTTGGAACCTTACAGTTGAACATGTTACATTTAAAGCAAGTTCGGTATTAACATATGTGTTTTGTTCTTTTTTAATTGTAATGCAGATGAAAAGGTGAAGAGCTATATCTACAGCATCTTGTCCATAGAAAGATCTAGGTGTCTTGAACGGTTTCACTGCTAAAACAATTTTTTTTTAATTTTATCGATTTTTGCATTTTTCTCATAAATGACTATAGACCTACAGCAAAATCGTAGATGACATTTTTATAGAAAATTGAATTTAGTCTATAAAAAGTCCTCAGTAAAGCTGTAAAGTTATTATTTCATGAGATAAATAGATTCAATCGTGCGAAAACTTAAAAAACCCTTGTTTTATCCTTATAGAATATTTGAAATTGCAGATAGAACTATAATTAGAGATGAGACAATTTAATTAAAAAAGAAATGTAGGTTTACGTGTTAAATGAATAGGAAAATTTTAAAATAAAAATAGCGAGTACTAAAAATTAAAATTAGAACTGAAATTTGGTAAAATTTTATTTCCAATTTTTAGAACAATATTTCCTCAATGGAGCAAAAAAAAGAAATGTACATTTCAAACAGAGCACCCTAATGCATATACATACATCTCATTTCGCTCACCTCAACGCATTAGAGCGACTTAACAATAATTGATATTTTCTGCCAAAGTGATTTTCTTTCTCTTTGGTTAAAGTTGTATATATTTCAGAAATTTGATAGCGAAGGCAAAGAGGTTATATGTAACGTTTGCAGAAGAAAGTTAAACGCAGCATTCGAATTTAAGGCAACTTGTCTGAAGACCGATTACGCAATTATTCCATATGTGGATTGTGAAAAAATGTTACAGCTCGATATCAGAGACGTGTATACAAAGGAAAAGACAAGCGAGTCAATGGATATTTCAGACGGTCATAAAATATGTCGATTGTGTATGGAGCCAGTAGAAAGTGAGTTTAGGTGCATTTGCCAAGAGGAACTTGAAGGTATCGAGAAATTGGCTCCTGAAATGGTATCAATGATATTAAATAGTTAAATGTTTCGCAATTTAATGAAACTACTTTGCAGAATATAAATGTTTAATGTTTGATGTTTAATGTTTAATGTGGCTAACTTTAAAACACATACACATACATAACTTTTACACGTCAATCATGTAGGAACCTAAGTATAAAAAAATAATACTTGTTAAATCTTATTTAACGTTGTATCTTAGGTGTTAGGCCTACTTTTAGAAAACAGATAAAACAATTACAGTATATTAAAATTAACACTAAGAAGAAAAAAAAGAAACAAAAACGTTATATACATTGCACCTAAGTGAATTAACACTTGTATTGTGCAAGCACAAAATCCATTAAGTATATGCTGTATATACAATAATATGAGTAAAATTCAAATTATTATTATCATCTTTCGTATTAGCTAGGATATTATTCAATCAATGACAAAAAAGACAAATAGTTGTTACTTATGTATGTTTTGCAGAGGTGCGAGTATTTTTTAAAGCTTTTGGTTCTTCTTATTTCTAAGGGTAACAAGTTGTATGTCTTGGGAGCTAAATGTGTCGCAAATCTCAAACCTATGGTTTTATTATTAAAAGGTGTTAGTAAAGCTTCGTTTGACATACTCCGAGTTACCCTAACATTCATTATCAACTGTTTTTCATTTTTAAATACATTTGTACACAATGAATGGAAATACAAAGATCTAATATTACATATTCCATCCTTGAAAAGTAAACTGGTCGGGTATAATTTATTTTTTTTTAAAATGATTTTTAATATATAATTTTGTACAACAGATAGCTGTTTTAAAGTCGTATTATATAAACCACCCCATACCAGAATACCATAGCGATAAATGGATTCCACTAGAGATTTATAAACTATAATATTTTTTTGCTTAAGATATCTCTTAATTTGTAGAATCTAAAAATCAGTTTTCGAGTGTTCACTGTTAATTTATTTATATGCTGCTCCCATTTAATGTTTTTGTCAATTACGATACCTAAATATTTTATGGAATATACTTCATTTATTACCATGCTGAAACGTTCAATATTAATCCTATCATAGTTGGGCCTATTTTTGCTGGTAATTGAAAATGCTATGTATTTGGTTTTACCAGCATTTAGAGATAACTGATGTCCATCTAACCATATTTTAATAGCAGTTATGCCACGTTCCATTTGTTCTTTAACTGTATCCCAGGTATCACCAGAGAAAATGACTACAGTATCGTCTGCATATGACAGTATTTTACCACTAGTATTTAAGAATAACAAAGAATTTAAGTATATTATAAAGAGTATGGGCCCTAAAACAGTGCCCTGTGGCACACCTATTTTAACTTCCTGGGGATCACTAAGACAATTATTAACTCTAACATATTGCATTCGATCAGTTAAATAACTAGTAAAAAGCTTTAGCACATTTCCTCGAATTCCATAACTATGCAGCACATTAAGAAGCTTGTCATGAGGCACTGTATCAAATGCCTTAGCCAAGTCTAAAAACACTGCAGCACACTTTCTACTTGAATCCAGATTGTCTGTGATTTCCTTTACTACTTCATACATTGCATCCTCTGTACTTTTACCTTCCAAAAAACCAAACTGATGTGGACTCAATATATTGTTATTTTTAAGAAAACTTACAAGCCTAGTTTTAAGACATTTATCAAAAATTTTTCCAAAATTATTTATCAAGCTAATAGGCCTGTAATTGGATATTCTCGTATTATCACCATTTTTAAATACAGGAGTAATGATAGAGCTTTTAAATTGAGAAGGCACAATACCAGTGGCAAAAATTAAATTTATTATATGTGTAATAGGCTGAACTATCTGCTTGTGAGATGACTTTATAAGTTCGGCAGTAATTGCATCCATACCTGGAGCCGAATTTTTTTTCAAAGAATTTATTTGTAATATTATTTCATTTTCTGTAACAGGCGTTAAAAACAATGAATTATTAATTGGCGGTATTTGAGAAGAAAAGTCATCAGGTATCTTTATATTGTTGGCCATTTTAATACCAATGTTAGCAAAATATTCATTACAGTAGTTCGACATATCTTTATTATTATCATATGGTTGACCATCTTCATTGGCAATATTAAAAGAACATGCATTATTTTTAGATTTTTCATTGGTAGCTTCAGATATTACTTGATAAATTTTTTTCATATTGTTTTGATTAAGTAAAATAATATCTTTATAATACTCATTTTTTTAACAGCTTATTTAAATTATTTCTATATGTTTTGTACTCTATCTCCAAATCCTGAGAATAACTATTTGTCAGTCTTTTTTTCATTTTATCTCTAATTATTATTGACTTGGTTAGACCAATTGTAATCCAAGGTTTGATTTTCTTAGGTACTTTATTATTAGTGGGTTTGGTATAAGTACTCTGAGATACAATTTTTAAATATGTTTCAGTAAATATATTAGTAGCAAGTTGAGAATTATTTAATTGCAAAACATGATTCCAACTTTCATTTTTAATCAAATTAATGAATTTATTAATATTAATTTTAGAAAATTTTTTAGTATTAATTTGCTTGATTGTGTCATAACTTATAGAATCTTTACTAAAATGTATCATGACAGCATAATGATCAGTAACAGAGCATTTAAGTATATAGGAGTCAATTTTAAAACTATTGACACCCTGATTACGTTTTACAAAAATATGATCAAGGCATGAAGTAGATTCTTTTGTAGTTCTAGTTGGAGATTGAATGTAGGGCACAAATCCATGTTTAGCTAACATTGACACATAATTGTTCACATACTCATTTTCATCTAATATATTGATATTAACATCGCCCACTATGAGTTGAAAACAGGCATCAGCTTTATTTAAGTCTAAATAGTCATCAATATCATTGATAAAAGCACCTATATTAGTTGGATTGGGTCTATATAATGCAATTATCCTAAAAAGGACATTACCAATATTGATTTCCATAATGCTTAGTGTTACCCCACTTATTTCCAACTTTTTATTATGGATTGAAGTTTCAAGACCCTTTTTTGCAATAATTATAACTCCATCATTTTTATTAAAATCCGCATGATTGTGAAAGGTATTATAACCAGGAATATTCAACTGATCTATAGAATCCACTTGAAAGCATTCACTTAAGATAATAACATCATAATTATAATCTAATTCATAGGTTACAAAAGTAGCAAGTAATTCATCAAAATTCTTTCTTATACTACGAATATTAAGATGAAAGACCCTAAGAACAGCATTTGTTTCAAACAGTACCTTACTGTCATTAATACCAACATATCTTCCCATGCGATTTCCTCCGACGCATTCGAGTTCTTGCAAAATTAAATCTTCATTGAGTAGTACCATTATACCAACGAATAGTCCGTTTTACTTTGTAACAGCAACTTTTGGAATTCTAAACTGGCACATGACAGGTCTGAGGCAGCATGTTCAACATTATAATTTGTATTAAATTTTTCATTAGAAATAACACAGTTTTTACAACACAATTTCACTTTAGGGCAAATATTTGCCTCATGCTCTTCACTACACCTTGGGCATGTTAATTTGTTACGACAATCTTGCTTTTTATGATAAAAACCCTGGCAGTTAAAACATCTTGGCACATCCAAATCCTCATATACTGAATACCTTTCCCATCCAATACATAATTTTCTGTCAACCATTACTTGTTTAAATGCAGTAGCCGAACACTCACAATAGATAGTATGATGGTCCCTACTCTTTTTTCTAATATATGTTGTTTTAATGACCCCTGCCAAATTATTTTGTTCTGCAATACTATTATCAATTTCATCTGCAGTCATGTTACCATCAAAATTAACAATTTTTATTCTTGGCTTTCTCATTTTTGTTTGCTCAATTAAATAGTTGTCCTTTAGTTTATCCTTTACTGCTTTTTCTAAAATATCAGTCTCTTCTTTTGTTTGACAAGTGATATGGATAGAACCTGATTTGGTAGATTTAAAATGCTTTATACCTATCTTTAATTCTGAAGGATTAATATATTTGTCCAGATCCGACTTAGTTTTTCTACTATCTTGTTCCCCCTTTGGCTTAATAATGATCTTTGGCTGATTTTCTTTCCTTTTATTAACCTCTGGTGCACTAGTTACAGATGCATAGGATAATTGTGTAAAACTTGCAAGTTTATCTTCAACTTGTTTGACTTTTTCTTGTAGCATATTAATAATTACATTTTTGTCATCTATTATTTGATCTTTATCCTATATTGTATTCCGTAAAAAATCAGTTAGTTCATAATTTCTGCATTTTTTGCATATAAATTTCAATAAACGAGTTCGTAAAGCTAAACATTTAATTTCCGAGCTCGAAAGCTCAGAGCAATCATTACATATTAAATTTCTGCACGAGTCACAAGGCGTACAAGGATTTTTTACATCTTTAGAAGGTTGCAAAGTTCTCTTACACACTGTACATTCCATTCCACGTTCCATATGCTAAATTCACTTTCCTTTTTTAGAACAACAAAATTTGTTTCTATATTGCTACTTTTTACTTTTAAGATAAAGACTTGGTTTTTGTCACCTTCTTTTTGGCGTTTAAATAGAATTTCTTATCATTTATATCCATTACTATGAGTGCACAAATGCATAAATACCTCTATAGACGTTTCTTACAGATCTTTTTTAATTTGTTATTAAAAAGCACTGCACTTTATTAACTGATGGGACAGATTTCAAAATTTAATGTAGATTATTTCCCATAGAACAAACACCAAAACTCACAGACTGAATTATTACTCTTTCACAGTGCAACAGTGTAAATGATATATCATCAAAGATCCCGTTGTATGTAAGGAATGCTTTGATTCTGTGTGCACCCACAACAGTTTCCTAAAAAATTGCTCGGAAGTACAGGAAAAAATTAGATGTCTTTTTAATAGCGCAGCAACAGAGAGTCAGATAGATACGTCACCATCCGATTTATTCGTTAAGACTGAAAACGAGGACAAAGAATTCGACATTAATGAGATGGAAATGTCAATCAAAGCTGAAAGTATCGACATAAAATCGGAAGATGAGGAAGGGAGGTAAGAGAAGATTATTTTAACAGTAATTTAAAAGGTAACCGTATAACTTCAGATCTTATTTAATTTTGCATCTCTTGCATTAATTTCTTGTGTTTCTGAGGGTTTTCGAATAATTAATTATTGTTAACGTATCTTCTATAAAAACATTAATTGTCGTCGAGAATTTGATTTATATGATAATAAAACTAAAATAAAGTCTTGTGGAGTTCAGAAACCCCTTAGAATTAACACCTAACATTGGAAAATACCCTGTACATGTAATTTTTTCAGCGACTCGCTACTGCAGAGCTCCGATAGTGGATCATTCGAGAAGAGTGACTTTAGAGATGCAGAAGAGGATGGATGTAAACATGAGAATAGAGCGACAAACGAATGTAATACCAAAGTCAAGCAGGACGACAAAGTATTTTACAAATGTGATAAATGTATTTACGAAACTAGAAGCGAGAGTCGTTTTATAGCACATCGTGGGAGACACGAGAACGATTCGGAAGCATATAAATGTGAATCGTGTGAGTATGAAACTGAAAATAAAAAATTTTTTCAGAAGCACCGGCTAAGGCATAAAGATTCTTCAGAAACGCGTATGCATCGATACGGATCATGTAATTACAAGACAAAGAGCAGGTGTGAGCTTGCTAAGCATCAGGTGAAACACAAAAGCGCATCTGAAGGGCGATTGTACGAGTGTGACATTTGTGATTTCAAAACAAAGCGGAAGTTCAGTTTTGACAGTCATTATATAAAACATAAAAACTCAAACAATCGTGTAGAATGTGACTATAAAACCAAATACACCGCATTACCGAATAAGAACAGTTTACAACTACCCATTTATAAATATGATGGTTGTACATACGAATCAAAAAATAAGAAAAACTTTACCAGGCATCAGTTGGTACATAAAGATCCTTCGCAGGTCAAAATGTACAAGTGTAATAACTGCGATTACAAAACAATAAACAAGAAATGTCTCGAACAGCATCAACTGAAGCATAAAGATCCTTCGCAAGTTCAAATGTACAAGTGTAACGACTGCGATTACGAAACTAAATACAAGGGTGTTATGAAACAACACCAACTGAGACACAAAGATCTTTCGCAGATTCAAATGTACAGGTGTAATGACTGCGATTTCAAAACTAAATACAAAAGTTGTATCAAACGGCATCAACTTAAACATAAAGATCCTTCGCAGGTTCAAATGTACAAGTGTAATGACTGCGCTTTCGAAACTAGATTCAAGAGATATATCAAACAGCATCAACTGAAACATAAAGATCCTTCGCAGGTTCAAATGTACAAGTGTAACGACTGCAATTACGAAACTAAATGCAAGGGTGTTATCAAACAGCATCAACTGAAACACAAAAATCCTTCGCAGGTTCAAACGTACAGGTGTAACGACTGCGATTACAAAACTAAATACAAGGGTGTTATGAAACAACACCAACTGAGACACAAAGATCTATCGCAGGTTCAAATGTACACGTGTGAAAATTGCGATTTCAAAACTAAATACAAAAGTTGTATCAATCAGCATCAACTGAAACATAAAGATCCTTCGCAGGTTCAAATGTACAAGTGTAACGACTGCGATTACGAAACTATATTCAAGAGATATGTCTAACAGCATCAACTGAAACATAAAGATCCTTCGCAGGTTCAAATGTACAAGTGTAACGACTGCAATTACGAAACTAAATGCAAGGGTGTTATCAAACAGCATCAACTGAAACACAAAAATCCTTCGCAGGTTCAAACGTACAGGTGTAACGACTGCAATTACAAAACTAAATACAAGGGTGTTATGAAACAACACCAACTGAGACACAAAGATCTATCGCAGGTTCAAACGTACAGGTGTAATGACTGCGATTTCGAAACTAAATACAAAAGTTGTATCAATCAGCATCAACTGAAACGTAAAGATCCTTCGCAGGTCAAAATGTACAAGTGTAACAACTGCGATTACAAAACAATAAACAAGAAATGTCTCAAACAGCATCAACTGAAGCATAAAGATCCTTCGCAAGTTCAAATGTACAAGTGTAACGACTGCGATTACGAAACTAAATGCAAGGGTGTTATCAAACAGCATCAACTGAAACACAAAGATCTTTCACAGGTTGAAATGTACAGGTGTCACAATTGCAATTACAAAACTAAGTACAAAAGTTGTATCAAACAGCATCAGCTTAAGCATATTCTTCTTAGGTCCAGGTGTACAGGAGAGGTATAAAATATTACAAGTTAAAGCATAGAGAGTTTTCACTAGTGTATGAGCATGCAAAGGTGTGTCGCAGATTCAAATGCATCAATGTGATCCGGAAACCACACATAAGAAGTCTCTAAGGAGATATCTGCTGATGCACAAAAAGCATTGGTGGGTGTAAAGCATGCCCCATTGAAGCGCAAAATCCAGTTTAAAATGGAGGCATTTAAGAGACCGACCATAAATATGTGAATGTGTAAAATGTAAAGCCTATTGTGAAAAACATCAGTTCAAACACAAAACTCTCACTGAAACAGAGACAAGACAAGTGATTTTGGACTAGTGCTTTTGTAACAATGCATTAAAATGAATACTTTGTAATATGCACCTGCTTTTTTCTATGTTTAAAGATGTATCTTTTTCATTATCAATATCCAGGGAGAATCTTAAATGTGTACATGTGTATTTTAAACAACTGCAAAAAAATTAGGAACAAAATAAATATGCATTGGTTTTCCTAATAAAAAATGGTTGAGAACTGCTGACTTCGCTGAGGTATTTATGCATTGAGAGATCAACTTTTCTGTGTTGCCAATGTCATTCATATAGACTTGTAAAGTCAGCTCTTTAATGAACTAAGAAGAAATAAATAAATTAAGTATTGGTTTAGATGTCGGAAATTTTGAAATATTTTTATAAGAATGTTCAAAGCCTCCTTCTCTGGCAATTCCTATGCAGGGGTGGTTTTTAGCAATACGGTCTGTCCTGTTTTTCACTTCTAGCTTAGAAACTCGGTATTCGATTGTTCACATGATTTTCGAGACAAGCGTTGCGGTAAACCGGAAAGCAGTAGTGCTAGTAAGTTTTTTATTTTATTTAAATTATATTTGCATAAAATCAATTCACCTAAATTAATTATTTGTGTTGTGCTTATGAGTAAGAGTTGTGTACATGCGGATGGGAAGATTATGATGGTTTTAGCTTCAGGGGCTGTTGGCTAACCGAATTTTACAGTCACCCCCTTTATTTTCTATGTTTAAATAAGGGTTTATTTGATACATTTATTTTATTGACCTCTTTAAGTTTTATATGTACACATTTAAAATTAACCCTACGTCCTATGTAATTTATAATTTTCATTTGATTCTTCGTAATTTGTGTAGGGGGAACAGGGTTACAAGTGGAAAGAAACGTTATTGTATTAACACTGTTCCCTATTGTATTTTATTTGTATTATTTTGAGGCATAAACATAGGTTTAAATCTTTAGCTTTTATTGTGCACTATTATATGATTATATATATATATATANAAACATTCATTAACACTATTCCTAAAATATTTATACTAAAATTGTTTAAAATTTTGAGCTATTGCTTTACAATTACATTTTAAAACTATGTATATATATATACATCTTTCTATCATTAGGGCGTCCATAAAAATGCTGTTTATGGCGTCCACCAATGGAATAACATACTTGTCCTTTTCTTTCTGTATATACTGTTCCTTCTATTAAAGAATTACAAATATAAACTAACAAAACAAAAATTATCTTGATTACGGTTATGAACACAGGTATATGGCCTACAGTAGAGCATCATTTTATTAGTCTACCATCAGAGCGTCTCTAATATACGTTTTTACTTATACTTTATCGCTTTTAAAGCGTCCGGGATCAAAAGTATACGGTTCCATTTAAAATTTTCAACATGACCTCTAAATAACCGTGAAGGTCATAGTAAAGGTCATATCTGAAGGTAAAAATTTCCATTTTTTCCATTTCCGGGATGAAAAGTATACAGTTCCATTTAAAATTTTCAACTTGACCTCTAAATGACCTTCAAGGTCATCGTTGGATTGCTCACTTAAAACCCTGCAACTTTTGTTCTAATCATTTTTGGTCTGAGCAGTATTTTCTGAGATAGAGGGGGGTGGGGTTCCAAACTTTTTAAAAACCCTGTATATGTAGCATTAAATGAATTAAATATAATTTCAGTATCTACATATGCGCTACACTGTATGAATCTGTTTAAAGGAGCCCTTTACTTTTGTTTGTTTTTACAGTTTTTGTTCTTTTGTACATAAAAATCTGCAAATTGATCTGAACCAAAATGATCTGTTCTGTTCTAGAATTGTAGGAAGTACGTGGTAAAATCGTGACGTGGCGCCATCTTTCGGGGAAAAATAGTACTAATATATGATACTTAATAAATATTACAGTATACTTTAAATTTATGGGCCGTCGTTGGTTGAAATATTCTGTACAATATTTCAGCCAACGAGGCGGCCATGTAAAGTAGTGTCTACCATTATTGATAGATGGCGCTATCTACTTGGCAAAATGAGACGACGTAATGATTCATACCTTTGCAAAAAAAATTGGATTAAGTTCTATTATTGTTATATGTAATCATCAGTAAACGTTCAAAATTTTGTCCACCGACTCGTAAACACATTTGGGCACGTTTAATGACGTTTTGACCATTAAAAACCAATGTTATTTCCCAATAAAAATATATAGGTGATAGTTTTTTAATTCAGGGGAACGTGGTGGCCACGTAAATAAAAGATACATAGCTGGTACCATAGAAAATGGCTGGTACTAAAGTTTGGAATGCTGGAAGTACACGTTAGGGTTACAATTTGCTTCAAATCGAAATTCGGCATTTCGTTGATGACGTCATCCGCTGAAAGAACAAATTTTCAAATGCAAAATATATTATATTTACTACTTTGTTTCAAGAAAATTGAAAACTGCGCTTAATACAGACAAAACAATCGTAATTATGTGCAAAGCGAATTTAAGAACGAAGAGCAGGTTTTTCAGCTGTAAACCAACACTGTTCTGAATCAGGAACCATGTTAGTGCTGTGCACAAGAAAAATTATTACGTCAATTTTTTCCAGCAATCCGTAATCATAGTGCAAGAATTATAGACTAGATTTTACCATTCTTGTTGTTCCGATAACAGAAGAAGAAGAACAATAAAATAACCCTCACTATTCGATGTTTTCATTGTGGTTAAACAACCAACGTAAGTTACGGTTTTATATTTACATTTCAAAGAAAATTGTTGCAATGACTGGTGTTCAAGAAACTTCGTGTAGTCTTTGCTTCAAAACTGTAACCGTTGAAGGTTTTGAGGTAATAGACAACGTTATTAGAGATACTTTAGATGTTCTTTTGCTGAAATTGGTAAGTTGGTGATAGATATGTACTAGTTCAGGGTCGCTGATGTGTATGTAACGGTCGTTTGAGGGTTTTTTAAAGCTATTACAATAAAGAAAATTTAAGCATACTTACACGATCAGTCGAAAAGCTATGACGAAACAAAATTGCTTTTTCTTTATTAGAACATCCTGTATATTATTCCATATGTCAATTCTTCTCGAAATTCTAAACAAAATTCATATATCACATCATACGCCTAAACTTAACCATTTTCGAGATATTGAACTTTGAAAATCAATTTTTTATAAATTATAGAAAAATATTTTAGTCCGTTAACTCCATTCTTTCATCTAATAGTGATTTTCTTGAGAACACATGTCAAAAATACATTTAGTGTGAATAATTTTCTCGCAAAATGACACGTTTAAATGAAACAGAGCGTATTTGAGTTTTAATGATCATGGGATATGCTGATAGAAGACGAAGTATCGGGAACGCATTTCTATATCGCAGCGTTTTCTTGAACCTGGAGGTGTTACAGATCGATTAATAGGTGGAAGACCAGTAAGCGTTACAAATGAGAAATACGTTCCCGATCGGGGTGCAATTAATGAAAAATATCCTCACGACTTTGTCTTCTGTCACCATATCCTGTGATCAATAAAACTTCAATACGATCGGTTTCACTTAAACGTGCCATTTTGCTAGAAAATTATTCACACAAAATGTATTTTTGACATGTGTTGTCAAGATAAGCGCTATTAGACAAAAGAACGACACGGCGTTGTTATGGAGGTAGAAACTTTCAAAGATAACTTGATGCACTAAAATATTTTTGTATAATAATTTATAAGAAAATGATTTTATCATCAACTTGGAGTTGCTATACACGCTAGCCATTTTTGACACTAACTACTAAAAAACTATTGTAAACACCACAGATAACACTAACACAACGACGATTGTAAAATCGGATTTCAGTGTTCGTAGTCGCTGAGGCCACGTGGCTCTCCACGCGTATTGCGAATGACGCTAGAGACTACAGTTGTCCGGCTGTGTAATGGTTGAATGCACTACTTCAATAATTTTTTCCTCGGAAACTATAAAGATTTTACAAAAATTTTTTTTTACAATATTGACTGCATTTCTCATGCCGCATCTATTCCCACATTTTTTTGGATAAGTAAATTTTGTTACATACGCGTGGGCTCTTAAGGCCTCCGTTTCCGAGATGCAGAGAATTAAAAAAAATTTTTAATTTTCTTAAATCCATTCAATCTAACTATTCGTAAGTAGGTAGTAGACGTTTCGCGAGATTTATTAACTAGGATAAATCGATTTTTCCATTGTAATATAAATGCAACTCTTTTAATAGAAACAAGATAATAAAAAATGCATACGGGGTCTGCTATTAGCATTTGCCGATTAGTCCCATTTTAAAAATGTCGATCTACCAGGACAGCATTTTTGTACAAAACTCGTAAAATGTCAGATGTGACGGTAAAATATTGCCACATGAGTTTAATGAGAACGCCCCATATAGACAAGCGGTTAAGCCGTCATATTTCAAACAAAATACGATTCAAATTGGAAACCTTTATCTTGTGTCGAGTGTACAGAGCCGATTGTGACGTGAAAGGATCGAGCTGGACGAGAACTTGGCAGATCGGTGGGGGCTTCAGTTGGTCTATCGACTGCGAAGTGTGAGTCACTGAGAGGTCCTATGTTGCGTATGATGAAGACACACCGTTATTCTTTGCGAATACCACGAAGTTTCTAAAGTAGTTTTTATGATTCTCAAATAGCATCGTTTATCTGTGAAACCATACAGTATGTTTGCGGCTTACCAATAAATATAGTGTTGTTAGTAAGGTGCGAGTTTTACTTTCTGAAAACACAACAATGACTTTCTCTGAGGAGATTACAATTTTCCTCTATTTTTTGTAATCGTAAAGATTACCAACTGATAATGCAGACAAAAGAATCAATTTTTGCAGATGGATGTTAAACAAATGTGAGTAGGTGAACTTTTGCGCATTATATTCGGCAAAAAAATAAATTGTCTCCTAAACGGCTGCTACTATTAAAAATCACCAAGAAACACTTTTCATTTATTTAACGTAACATTACCTAAATTTAACGTTGTTTCTACAAAAAACCACCATGGCATATTTTTTTCTTGGGGAAACGGAGCACAACCTTCAGTAACAGGCCACTGGTTAACGCTACGAGGTTAAAATTACATTCAATAAAAGGTCTAATTAAGTGAATACGCTGTGGTAAATTTCATTCAAATGGTTCAGCGCATTATGAAGATATGACACAAAATATAATTTCTTTTGGAAACTTGAACATCCTGTATCTCGAATACCACGCTCCCCCCTGGAAAAAAGTTTATAGAGCAAACTCTACTTATTTTTGGCAACTAATCTATCCTGCACTTTCTGTATTTAAAGTGAAACCACTCTGTATATCTCAATTAGCACACCTCAACACATTAGAACGACTTAACAATAATTTATATTTTCTGCCAAAGTTATTTTCTTTCTCTTTGGTTAAAATTGTATATATTTCAGAAATTTGATAGCGAGGGCAAAGAGGTTATATGTAACGTTTGCAGAAGAAAGTTAAACGCAGCATTCGAATTTAAGGCAACTTGTCTGAAGAACGATTACACAATTATTCCATATGTGGATTGTGAAAAAATGTTACAGCTCGATATAAGAGATGTGTATACGAAGGAAAAGACAAACGAGTCAATGGATATTTCAGATAGTCGGAGAATATGTCGATTGTGTATGGAGCCAGTAGAAAGTGAGTTTAGGTGCATTTGTAAAGAGGAGCTTGAAGCTATCGAGAAATTGGCTCCTGAAATGGTATCAATGATATTAAATAGTTACATTTTTCGCAATTTAATGAAACTACTTTGCAGAATATAAATATCATCAAAGATCCCGTTGTATGTAAGGAATGCTTTGATTCTGTGTGCACCCACAACAGTTTCCTAAAAAATTGCTTGGAAGTACAGGAAAAAATTGGAGGTATTTTTAATAGCGCAGCAACAGAGAGTCGGATAGATACGTCACCAGCTGATTTATTCATTAAGACCGAAAACCAGGACATAGAATTTGATATCAATGGGATGGAAATATCAATCAAAGCTGAAAGTGTCGACATAAAATCGGAAGATGAGGAAATCAGGTAAGAGAAGACTATTTTAACAATAATTTAAAAGACCATATAACTCCATATCTTATTCAATTTTACATCATTTCTTGTATTTCTGAGGGCTTTTGCATAATTAATTATTTTTAACATATCGTCAATAATAATATTACTAATTGTTGTCAAAAATTTGATTTATATGATAATTAAATTGAAATAATGCCCTGTGGAGTTCAGAAACTTGCATAATTGCATTTGGAATAACCGATGACCCCTTAGAATTAACACCTAACATTGGAAAATACCCTGTATATGAAATTTTTTCAGTGACTCGCTACTGCAGAGCTCCGATAGTGAATCATTCGAGAAGACCGTCCTTAGAGATGCAGAAGAGGATGGATGTAAACATGAGAATAAATCGACAAACAAATCTAATACGAAAGTCAAGCAGGATGAAAGAGTATTTTACACATGTGATAAATGTATTTACCAAACTGAAAGCGAGGGCCGTTTTATAGCACACCGTGTGAGACACGAGAACGATTCGGAAGCATATAGATGTGAATCGTGTGAGTATGAAACTGAAAATAAAAAATTTTTTCAGAAGCATCGGTTGAAGCATAGAGACCCTTCGGAAATGCGTATGCATCGATGCGGATCATGTGATTACAAGACAAAGCACAGGTGTGAGCTTGCTAAGCATCAGGTAAAACACAAAAACGCATCTGAAGGACGATTGTACGAGTGTGACTTTTGTGATTTCAAAACAAAGCGGAAGGTCAGTTTTAATAGTCATTATATAAAACATAAAAACTCTAACAATTATGTAGAATTACCGAATAAGGACACTTCACAACTGCCCATTTATAAATGTGATGGCTGCACATACGAATCAAAGAATAAGACGCACTTTACCAGACATCAGTTGGTACATAAAGATCCTTCGCATGTGCAAATGTACAAGTGTAACGACTGCAATTATGGATGTAAAAATAAGCATGCTATCAAACAGCATGAACTGAAACATAAAGATCCTTCACAGGTCAAAATGTACAGGTGTAACAACTGCGATTACGAAATTAGATACAAGGATGATTTAAAACATCACCAACTGAAACACAAAGATCCTTCGCAGGTTCAAATGTACAGGTGTCACGATTGCGATTATGAAACCAAATTCAAGAGTTATTTCAAACATCATCAACTGCAGCATAAAGATCCTTCTCAGGTTCAAATGTACAAGTGTAATGACTGCGATTACAAAACTGTATCCTGGGGATATTTCACAAAGCACCAACTGAAACATAAAGATCCTTCGCAGGTGCAAATGTACAGGTGTAACGACTGCGATTATGAAACTAAATACAAAGGTAATATGAAAAATCACCAACTGAAACACAAAGATCCTTCGCAGGTTCAAATGTACAGGTGTCACGATTGCGATTATGAAACTAAGTACAAGAGTTGTATCAAACAGCATCAACTGCAACATAAAGATCCTTCACAGGTCAAAATGTACAGGTGTAACAACTGCGATTACGAAACTATATACAAAAGTTATATCAAACAGCATGAACTGATACATAAAGATCCTTCGCAGGTTCGAATGTACAAGTGTAAAGACTGTGATTACAAAACTAAGTACAAGTGTCGTATGAAAAATCACCAACTGAAACACAAAGATCCTTCACAGGTTCAAATGTACAGGTGTCACGATTGCGATTATGAAACTAAGTATAAGAGTTGTATCAAACAGCATCAACTGCAGCATAAAGATCCTTCTCAGGTTCAGATGTACAAATGTAACAACTGCGATTTCAAAACTAAATACAAGGGTGATATGAAAAAACACCAACTGAAATACAAAGATCCTTTGCAGGTTCAAACATACAGGTGTAATGACTGCGATTACAAAACTACATACAAGTGTGATATTAAATTTCACCAACTGAAACACAAAGATCATTCGCAGGTTCAAACATACAGGTGTAATGACTGCGATTACAAAACTATATACAAGAAATATCTCAAAGAGCATCAAATGAAGCATAAAGATCCTTCTCTGGTTCAAATGTACAGGTGTAATGACTGTGATTTCCAAACTAAAAACAGGAGATATATTAAACAGCATCAACTGAAACACAAAGATCCTTCGCAGGTTCAAACGTACAGGTGTAATGACTGCGATTACAAAACTATATACAAGGAATATCTCAAAAAGCATCAAATGAAGCATAAAGATCCTTCTCAGGTTTAATTGTACAGGTGTAACGACTGCGATTACGAAACGAAATACAAGAGTTGTATCAAACGGCATCAAATGAAACATAAAGAGAAGGTGTACCGACTGTGATTATGAATTCAATTGCAGGAGTGGTATAAAATATTACACGTTGAAGCATATAGAGCCTTCTCGAGTGTATGAGCATGCAAAGGTATGTCGCAGATTCAAATACAGTACGGCCCATGGAAGCGCTAAATCCAGTCAGAAATGGAGGCATTTAAGAGACTAACCATAAATATGAAAATATGTAGAATGTAGAGCCTGTCCTGAAAAACATCGGTTCAAACACAAAACTCTCACTGAAACAAAAATAGATAAGTGTTTTCGGACTAGTGTTGTTGTAACAATGGATTAAAATGAATACTTTCTAATATACATCTGCTTTTTCTATGTTTAAAAATATATCTTTTTCATTACCCATATTCAGAGTGATTGTTAAATGTATACAGGGTGATTCACTATATTTTGACTTGAAGAGATATAAAAAAAATTGAAAAACAAAAATTGCACGATTTTTTATGAAATTTTCGAAAATTTTCGTAGAAAAACAAATAAAGTCCAAATAAAATGACCGCGGATGTTAACTTTGTTAATTTAAATGGAACACTGTATATTTTTACGTATTTGGATAGAATGCTCCCTGTCGAGCATAGTCTTATAGGGTTTGTTGGGTCCATCTCTAACAGTAAGTGAGATAATATTAAAAAACAAAAAAGTTAAAGGGGGGAGGGTTAAAATACAGTGAGTCACCCTGCACATGTGTATTTTGAACAACGAGACAGTTTACTATGTAGAACATGCAATTAACTGTTTTTTCTGCAAATAAAAATTAGGAACAAAATAAATACGCAATAATACTAAACACTAAAATAAATATGCATTGGTTTTCTTAAGACTTCACTGAGGTTTTTATGCCTTGAGAGATAAACTATTCTGTTTTGCCGATGTCGTGTAGACTTGTAAACTCAACTTTTTATATGAACTAAAAATAAATAAATAAGCATTGGTTTAGATTTTGGAAGTTTTGAAATATCTTTATAAAAATGTTCAAAGCCTCCTTCTCTTACCATTCCTATGTGGGGGTGGTTTTTAGCAATACTATCTGTCCCATTTTTCATTTCTAGCTTAGAAACTCGGTATTCGATTGTCCACATGATTTTCGAGACAAGCGTTGCAGTAAACCAGAAAGCAGTGATTCGAAAATTATTATGTACCTCTTAGTAGAAAGTCTTTTATTTAAATTATATTTGTACAAAATCAATTCACACTTTCAGCCTAATATTCATTATTTGTCTTGGTCCTAAATTAATTATTTGTGTTGTCCTTATGAGTAGGAGTTGTGTACATGTGGATGGGATGATTATGACGGCTTTGGCTCGAGAAGCTGTTGGCTGAATGAATTTTGCAGTAACCACCTTTATTTTTTATGATTAGATAAGTGTTTATTTGTTTCATTAATTTTTTTGATTTCTAATTTTTATATGTACACATTTAAAATTAACCCTGCGTCCTATGTAATTTATGATTTTCATTTGATTCTTCGTAATTTGTGTAGGGGGAACAGGGTTACAAGTGCAAAGAAACGTTATTGTACTAACACTGTTCCCTATTGTTTTTTTATTAGTATTATTTTAAGGCCTAAATATAAGTTTAAATGTTTAGCTTTTATTGTGCACTATTATAAGATTATATTATATGTATGTAGGATTAAATAAATTAAATTGTAATGTATTGTCTACCATTATTGATAGATGGCGCTATCTACTTGGAGAAATGGGAAGACGTAATGATTCGCAACAGGGAGACTAGACAAGGAGCACGTACTCATACGGGAAAATTGACATAATTTGTCCAAGAAATGGCAGAAGTTGGGGTGTCGCTAGTGCTCCATGTGTACCGAAGTGAAAAGAGCATAATAAACACGAGGGAAGTACATATGTGCTATTATACAGGGTGCCGCCTCGTACTGATTTTTGATGTGCGGCCTACCAGTTTTTGATACCAATACTAGCATCATGAACGCAGGTTGTGGGATTTTAATGGTAAACAAATAATTACGTTCAAACGTCAAATAACATAGGTTATTGTCAAAATGGAAATTCGTAATAAAAATGTCAATTATTTAACAAAAATCAGTTATTTCACAAATTAAACAATACTGATGGACCAATAAATGTCATTATTGTTATTATTAAAGAGGATGACAGAATCAGATGTAGGTTTAGCCTAACTTTTCCAAAATTCTTATTTCATATACAACTAGAAAAACGTTTCAATCGAAGTTTGATGTAGCTAATTTTGAGTAAAAACTTTAAGTGCTGCAACGATTTTATTTTAAAAAAAGTTTGGCTTAATTTTAAAAGAGAAGCACTATTGTTGCAACATTCGTGGCATCTAAGACGATACAGCTATACAGCGATACGCTGCAAGCTGCTGTTTTTCATTGAAGCGAACTGCTATATGTTTATAAGACGACTATTTTGCAGCTACTGCTGTCACACTTCTGAATATCCAACGCAAGCGATCCAGCCCAAAAATTTACGCCGAACATTTTTGTTAGCTGTTGAAATTCAGCGTCTTAAAAACGTTTGCTTCAAGCAAATGCAAGCGATTGGAAGTATTCGATTATGTTAGACAGGATTGTCTATATAATAACTGAGAGAAATAAGTAACAGTTACATGGAATATGTAATAACAGAGTAATCGGAATTTTTTCACATTTTATTGAATATTTTGCCTTAAAATTACATAAAATCCATATGCATATCTAAAAAAAAATATCTATATTTTTACAATAAATGTTCAATATGATGTCCATTGTTGTTCAAGCAGGTATTAATTATTCTTTTCATATTATTAAATACATTCTGTAAAACATTTTGTGTTATACTCCCAATCTCGTTTGTAATTGCCTCTTGAAGTTCTTTAATTGTGTGTAACTGTTGAGCAAATACTGAATTTTTTAAAAAACCAAATAAATAATAGTCTAGGGGTGTAAGGTCAGGAGAACGTGGTGGCCATCTATCTCGACTAATTATTCGATCATCATAATACTCTCTAATCAACTCTAAAGTTTCGTTAGAGGTGTGAGCTGTTGCGCCATCTTGCTGAAAGTATCCATGATGGATTTCATCGTCGTGAAGTTCCTCAAAAAATGGTAACAATATTTGCTGCCGATAACCTGCCCAGTTACGTTTTCACGGAAAAAATATGGTCCGATTATTCTTCTACGTGACATAGCTACCCAAACACCAAATTTAATATGGTGCAGGGTTGTTTCACGCAAAATAGGGTTTTCTGTGTTCCAAAAGCGATAATTTTGGAAGTTTACGTACCTACTTAAATGAAACCACGCTTCATCAGAAAAAAAATGTTAGATCTAGAATATCGTCGTCATTCAGATTTTCGTTAAACCAATTACAGTATTGCACACATTTTCCAAAATCACCATAAACACCATGAAATCGCACGGAAAAAAGTAATTTTAGCAAACGGAAATCAGTTTTGATAGCAATTGGGACAGGGTACGTTCAGAATCCGGTCAATCATTTTCGATCTCTCTGTATATGTATAGAAGTATGTGGATAAATTAAGCCGCTGTCACTTTCAGTCATTTTTTCATAACATTTCTGAATTTTTCGCGATTTTACCGCCAAAACTGCACGGTGTTTTCCGTACAGGTCAAAGCTGGCCAATCACAGATTCACAGAACATCTGTGGTACTGGTCAATGTATTAAGAATTAAGATCATTCGTTCCCTTAGAGCATATACTACATGGAGGAAGCACCGCGTGTTGAAAAGTGTAGACGCCGTAGAGAGAACGGACGACAGTTTGGATACTCGCTCTCTCTCTCTCTAATCGCGAGCGGAGGGACTTGCGGTAGCCAATCACGTGCCCGCGCGAGAGAGAAAGATAGTATTCAAACTATATCTCTCTCTATATTATTCGTGTACAGCAATATCTATGCGAACTTTGTGGTACTTTCTTGGGTGAGTCGCCCTCTATGAGACTCTTATTAAACTATTTTAATCCAAATATCAACGCTTGCATTTATCTGGGTGACCACCCCAATGACCCCCCCCCCCTGCCCGCTAACCTTTTCTGTTTCAGAGACAGCCAGGATCAAGAAACGAAGACAACGACACACACACACACATACACACCCCCCATACCCTCCTTAACCCTCCCCTCCCGCGCTAGCCTAAGGGCCACCTTAGCAAAGCGCATCCCAGGCTGCATAGCCGTACTACCCTACCCAACCATACCACACATAAACATGACACTACCCCCGGGGTTTACACAGACGAGCCGGCGAAGCAAGAAGAGCGCCAGAAGAAAGGGCCCTAGCCGGCGGGGTCCAGCCAGGACAAAAGGAGGTCCCACAAAGCGCCTACACCGGCCGCATTTGCGGTCGGGGTAGACGACGGATGGGGCCCACCTACGAAGGCTGTCCAGGCCTACACGAGATGAGGCAGGATAAAGAGGGATAATCCCCCTCGATCCCAAATCATTGAGGCCAATTTCTAGCCATAGAATAATGGCGCGCGCGGCGCTTGCATTTATCAAAAGCGAATATAAAAATTTGCCACACAATCACCAAGTCTACTTAAAAAAAGTGAATTAACGAACGGTCATTATCCAATAATGATTTAGGCTCATTTTTTTTTTTTGTGGCTACCACTAGACATCGTTTGTACTTTTCCACTTGTATTGCAACACCCTGAAACTGGTATAATTCGTAACTAGGCGACGGTGTAAACAACTTAGTTGATTGTTGTATTTGTGCAGGTCTGCTACTGTCGAAGCTTTCTTTTATATATTTTTGTGAATAAAAAAAGAAAGAAAGAGGGGACACGATGAACCAACCCAGGACGGGTGGTACAACTACCGATAAGGAGATGGTCACAATGGCGGAGGAAGAGCTAGCTCGCTTACACAGGCAAGTAAGTATGGTAGAAACCAAGGACATTTAAATAAAGGGGACTATGCATGTCACAGTCTATCTCATATGTTGGGTGAAGCTAGACAAGGGGAAAGCAGAGGGCTTTATTTTCATCCAACTGATGTGCCCGATTACATCTCCATTGCCGTACATTTTGGATGGGTCAAAATAAAATATTTTATAGTCCTAAGTCAATATATTTCAACAGTTACTCAGTATTTTTATAATAAATATATATAAAATTTTTATAACTTCTTGGAATCCCAATAACTGTAACCATTTCTTTCTTGTTGCACCATCCCCAAGCATCCTAAAAACGTTCACATTTCACTTTTAGAATACTGAGGCAAATTTTCAGTGAGACATAAAAATANTTTTTAAATGAAAACCCCTAATTTTTTAACGTATTCGCATTCTGCACTAAAATGAAGTGAAACTTTGTTTAAAGTTTCCCTATACCCAAACCCAGTGGTTTTCATTTTATTTACGAATAAACATCTCCCATTTCTTAAAATGATGTTTCCATTTGTTTCGCACACTTTAGGTTGGTCGTGACAGGTAAGTAACGTTAAAAAAATTTGGGGTTTCCGTTAAAAAATTTCGAGTCTTCCACATTTTCCGAACTTCATATTCGATAAAAAAATTTGACCACCCTGTATACAAACTGGAAAATTTTCATGTCAAATTCGATCAATTAGGCCTTCCTCTACAAAATGTCCAATTTGCACAAAAAAATAACACCATATTTCCGGGAAAACTAAATTTTGCTGAGTCTACGTCTGTCAATTTTTGCTTAAAAATCAAAATATCTCGAAAACGGTCAGTGCTAAGTATGGAAATGTTTTCAACTTAAAAATAGACGTTCTTTCCAAAAATTCAATAATACACAGGGGGTTCCATTTAAAATAAGAAAATTAGTATCGACTTCGGGTATAACCAGCAGTACACACGACGCAAGATAAAGGTTTCCAATCTGAATCGTATTTTGTTTGAAATATGACGGCTTAACCGCTTGTCTATATGCTCTCCTGGTAGATTGGCACTAAAATGGGACTAATCGGCAAACTTTTATAGCAGACCCCGTATGCATTTTTTTTATCTCGTTTCTATTAAAAGAGTTGCGTTTACATTACAATAGAAAAATCGATTCATCCTAGTTAATAAATCTTGCGAAACGTCTACCACCTACTTACGCCTAGTTAGATTGAATGGATTTAAGAAAATTAAAAATTTTATTTTTTTTTTAATTTTGAAAACCCTGCAGCTCGGAAACGGCGGCCTTAAGAGCCTACGTGTGTGTAACAAAGTGTACTTAATTTTAGCCACAGAATGGGCCTCTGTTTTTTTTTCTGTACGCCATTAATGAACACTGTATAGGTGCCCGCAATGAAATCAGTTGAAGTTTCTTATAAAAGTTGTAAAGCATACAATTCTACATAAAATGGCCTCTTGACAGAGTTAGGGAGGCTGAAAGTTAAGGGAAGATTTCAGAAATTTAAAAAAATCATAAGCAGAAATATGAATGAATTTTGTAGTTTTTTTTTCAATCTACTCTAAAAAATGTAACTTTTCTTTTAAGTTATAACAATTTCAAATTTTTAATTGTTAATTTTAATGAAGTAACAAAACTAAAACAATTTTTTTTCTATACTATTCGATTGATTATTTAAAATAATGAAAAGTCGCCTTCGAATTTTTTTTACGTTTGTTTTTTAGACAGATACAAATTTATTTACCTTTTTATATTTTGAATTTTACTTAGCACCTACGACACTGCCAGGACAAAGATAAAAAATCACGTTCGCTTTGTCGCACTCATGGTACCGAAGTTTTGGGCAACTCGTATGCTTATGACAAAGATAGATTATTTCGTTCGCTATTGTCAATGCGCGTGCGTCAGTAAACGTGTGTTTCTTTAAATGATTATAGTCTAGGCGCTATCTGTTTTAAAAAGGGTATTCTTGGGTAAAACGCATATGATCGGAGATTTTTGCTTTAGCGGCTTCTAAATAACATCAGAAATGATAATATTTCTATGCAAATAAAAAAAACGTGGGCTTAATTGTTATTGCAAAAAAGTATAAACATTTTTATTTGCGGAAGTAGACGAGTTCGAAATCGATTTTGAAGGAGACATGTCAGAAGAAAGTGCAAGTGAACTCGACAATCAGATTTCAGAGTCGTTGGAAAATGATATTTTGCAGTTGCAGGACGAGGAAATCGACGACGAAATAGATTGTTATAATACTGATGAGGCATATGAAAAATCACCAATTAGTAAAAGAATTAGATTAGTTTAAATGCAAATAAAAATTGAAATAAATAGTTTAAAATTTGAAAAATCATGAAAAGTGTGTACTGTTTACTGAAGTGTCTAAAAGATTCTTGTACTTTTTTTATATAAATAAAAAATAAATTTTAGATAAATATTTTAAAAGTAAACGAAAAAATTAAAATTATAATTATTCGCAATTTATTTTTTTTGAAAGATTTTTAGAAATTTATCGTACAACTAAAAATTAATACCAATTTTCAGTTGTTTATTTAAATAATTATTGTTTAAACAATTTTATAATATTTAAACAAACTTACTAGTATTTCTTGGTGCAACATGCAAAAATTTTGGTCGTAAATATTAACAAGTAAATAAATAAACATGATAAATTAATCATTTTTTAAAGTAACTGTTTATCGGCATGTCAAAAGTCCAATAATTAATAATAAAAGGTGGTTGAAAATATGATAATTGAATTTTTTAAGTTGCGAGACATCGATTTAAAAAAAAAATCATCGAAATATTTAAATTTTATGAATAAAAAAA